TAGAGGGCCTAATTTTGCTTGTGCGGAGTTTTAAGTCTTGGTTGTGTATAGTATCGTCCCGAAATATTTATAAATAATAAACCAACTACTGACAAAAAAAAAAACAAGTTAATTTTACTTAATATAATTATGTTATGTATGTATGTCCGGCGATTAGACGATCAATAATTAGGACTTGGGCCGCAATGTATTAAGCGGAGTAAGTTGTACAGTACTATTAGTAATATGATCAGTATGATTAGCGCAAAACCTAAACCACGGTGTCTTAGGACCAATAAAAATGTTTATGCCTACTACCCTAAGCCCAAAAGTTTTGGGAAAATCCAATTTGATGGTCAACGTGGACAAAATCGAAGTCAATCGTATCACGTAGGCCTAATGTAGTCATGGATTTTGACAAAAGTGATCATCGGGTGGGCGAGAGAACTTGGGGAAGAAAGTTCATAATTGATATAGCTTTAAGCCTTAAGGCTCCTCATGATTACTTACACTTTTCAATGTCATTATTATTAATTTCAGGTGCAGGAGTATGCATATGTTTTCAGACGATGGTAATATTTGTGAATTTGAACTTTAAAAGATCTACAAGTATTGGCAATGGGGTACTATTCGCAGCGATAGGTCTGGGAATTATGGTAGTTCCACTCATATGTTCAATATTGAAAGCAAGGTACGGATGGCGAGGTGCATTGCTGATTATGGGCGGAGTTTCTCTACACAGCGTAGTTATAGCTACGATGATATTTCGGAAAGACTTTTACCCCACTTCAGAGGAAATTGATCAGAAAAATGATGCAAAATCCTCAAAAGACGTTATTGAATCTGATAAAAAAGCCGAAGATAAAGACACAATTTACAACAACTTGTTACTTTTCAGAACATATCCTCGTTTGATCGTCATGTCGTCAGCTATTTGTTTCATTTGTTTAGGTTACTCTGGATTTTATGTGCACATGATTGCCAGCGCAATATACAAAGGTGTATCTGACTTTCAGGCGTCGATCATTTTCGGCGCTTTCGGAATTGGTAATCTTTTCGGGCGAGTAGCAAATGCTATTCCGTTATATTTTGGATGGATTTCTGAGTACAACCTGTTTATCGCATGCATGTTTGTTGTAACTTTCTCAATGTCGATGGTAGCCGTGTCCGAATCTTTCGCAGCTCTACTGACATTTTCTTTATTAACTGGGCTATTGTTCGGTGTCTACACCCCACAAGTTCCGGCTATTGTAAAGGAATTTGTGCCAACACGTGTGTTTGCCCGTGCCTACGGAATCACCATCGTTCCCTCAGGATTCACCGCCATATTTGGTGGTTATATTGTAGGTAAGATGGTTTTTTTTTCTCAGTTTGAAATGGCAGTTAATTTTTATTTCTATTTTTTTATTTGCAATAATATATACACAACATATACAAGCTACATTGAAAGCAATAAAAAGGAAACAAACATACAGTATGTTATTATTGTCATTACTCTTTAAATAATACATTTTGTTTTCTTACTTCCCTTCTTCTCTTTCTCTGTTCTCTCTTTTTTTTTTTTTTGATAACTGAAAGCAAATAACCCATTTAAATATACAAGGATTAACATTTTGAATTAACATTTTTGTAATTATTACCTTTTAAAAATGTATGAATGACACATAACATATTAAAATAAACATTCGAAACATTAATAAAAAGTAAGGTACCAGTGAAACTTCATTCGGATCATTTTTATTTCATTGTTAGAATACGCTATCTTTAATTTATGTATTTATAAACAATTTTAATCTTGTATGTA